TCCTTTCCTTGGTTGCTCTGAACTCTAGTTTTGGCCTCCCTGTTCCCCTGAAACTGCCAGAAGCTCCGTTCAATGTCTTTTAGCTCCTGAAGCTCTTTAATCACCACTTTGCTTGGCTTCTCAGCCTCTGCGCCAATACGTGTAGTGCTTACACATTGGAAGATACCTAGGGGGAAAGCAGTACAGAATATCAGACTCACATGAATTTTCTTCCCTTCTAGTGTCTTCTTGTTGTTGTTATGTGCCGTTGAGTTGTACCCGACTCATAGCGACCCCTCCTTGGGTTGCCAGAGCAGTATCACTACAGAAATAGATTGCTCAACCTTCCTTCCAAGGAGTGGCTGGTGGGTTTGAACCACCAGCCTTCTGGTTAGCAGACAAGTGCTTTAGGCACTATGCCACCAGAGCTCCATCTAGAGTCTTAGCCTGTCAAATTCTCATTGCTTTGGTAACTCTTTAATGCCTTGACATACATATAAGAATTGTTTTATTTTCGTGGTGAATTCAATCTTTTATCAAGGCTTTTTTTTTTTCTTAATATGTTTTTACAGTTGTTCTTCTGATACTGACTGGTTTGTCATGCCAGTCAGAAGTCATTAATTTTCTAATATTAAATCAGTCCTGCATTCCCAGAATAAATCCAGCTGTATTATATTTTCATTTGAATACACTGTTGGATTTGTTAATGTTGTAGGTGATGTTGAGTAGATTCTGATTCACAGCAGCCCCAGTGACAGAGTGGAGCTGCCCCATAAGGTTTTCTGGACGGTAATCTTTATGGGAGCAGAGCACCAGTCTTTCTCCTGCAGAGCTGTGACTGGGTTTGAACTGCCAAACTTTCTGTTAGCAGCTGAGCATTTAACCATTGTGCCACCATGGGAAATGGTCCTGTAATTTTCTTTTCTAACCCTTGTCTACTTTTAGGAGCAAGGTTTCCTAGTCTCCTAAAACAATTTGGGTTAGTTATTCTTTTCATATTTTCTGAAGAGTTCATGTAGCATTAGAATTATCTTTCACTTCAGTATAGACCACTCATCTTAATATCTATTCTACTGTGGCTGTGTCATACATATTTTTATTTTTTTATCTTAATCATTGGGCAGGGCTTATTAATTTTATTAGTCCTCTACTATTTTTTTTCTTTTTTACTGATTTTTCTTCTCTGGGCTTCTTGTATTATTCCCTTTATAATATTTTAAAATGGATGCTTAGCACATTTGTGTTTTAATCTTTTTTTTTTTTTTAAGTAAAAGCTTTTTAAGCCTGTGTATTTTTCTCTACAATACTACTTGAGCCATATCTGACAAACTAGGATATGTAATGTGTTTAACTTCATTGTCATTTCTTTGAACAATGGGTTATTTAAAAGTGTGTTTTCATTAGTATTTTTTAACCTAACTAATGTCCAGAAATATGACCTATCTGATAGTCAGTTCTTTGAAATTTGTTGAAATACATTTTATGTCCTAAAATGTAGTCAGTTCTAGTAATACTCCGTAAGTTTGTGAAGAGAAAGTACATGTTCCAGTTATTAGGTTGAAGTTTCTGTAGTGTGTCTGTTAGCTCAAGCTTATTAAATGATTCAGGTATTCTCTGACCTTACTGGATTTTTTGGTCTGCTTTATCCATCAGCTACTGACTGAGCTAGGTCTTCTCCTGTGATGGTGGATTTGCCAGTTTCTTCTTACAGTCTGCTACTTTCTGCTTTATACATTTGAAACTATGTCATTAGACGCATATTAGTTAAGAATTATTTGGTTTTTCTGGTAAGCTAAACCTTTTATTAATATTCACCAATTTTTTTTTTTTTAATCTCTACTAATAATTTTTTGGTATTTTCCTGACCTTTTCTCTCATTTAGAGCTCTTCTGTGTCCTTAGGCTCTAGGTGTGTCAACAGCTTGTATCGTTTTATCTGGGGTTTGCTTTGATACCCACCTTGAAAATTGGTATATTTTAATTACTCAGGTATTTAAAATTTCTTTTCTGTTTTCTTTTGATTGGAGACTCTCTTCCCCCTCTCACTAGGTTGGAAGTCATGCCTTTTTTTTTCTTCTTAGTGGTTACCTAAGCATATTTAACCTATCAAACATACTTGCTCTTCCTCTGAATATTCAAGAGGGTTCGAGTACATTAAATCACTTACCAAGTAACATTCATGCCGTATTGTCCAGTATTTGAGTTGAAGCTTGATTGTGTTTAACCCCTGTGTAGTAGATTTTATGCCGTCTTGTAGATTTACTCTGCCCTTTTTTCTCCTTAGATCTCAGACCTTTCTTATTTTCCTTCATACTAATTTTACTTACCTATATAGAAAAGAATATTCTTTTTGTTAAGGCTTTATCAATAGTAAACACTTGTTTATTTTACATTACATACTTTACATTCTTATTCAAGAATGACAGTTTCTCTAGGTATAAAATTCTGAATTGACAGTACTTTTCCCTCAGCAGTTTCAAAATGTTACTCCATTGTCCTCATCCATTTTTGTGGTTGAGAAGTTACTGTGTCTAATTCATTTTTGACAATAATCTTTCATTTCCCTTTGGCTCTTAACAGCTTCCCTGTATTTGGTGTTCAGCAGTTTCACTGTAGATTTACTGGGGATTCATTTGGCTTCCTGACTTTGATTTTGAGGACTGATGTCATTAATGCTTCTGGAATATTCTTAAATACATCTATCAGAGTTCTAAAAGGAGAGAATGGAAGAAGAGACAGTAGTTAAGTCTTACCCTTAGCTTCAGTTTGCTTCAGTTTGTTTAGCTCTCCTTATTAATACATTCATAGTTTTTATTTCTTAAAAAAGGCACCTGAGTACAGGTTTCCCCTGCTATCTGAAAGCACAATGTTTCTATGAAACCTTTAAACCAAAATGGCATAAAGCAAAGAAGCAATTACCATTAACTTATGTGGGAAAATTTTTCAGCATTCCAAGACCCAAAATTGACATAGAGTAAAAGCAGGAATGGTATAATAAACTCACATGTGTGCAGTGCAATTTCTGGGGAAGGAGCTTGGTGACAACACTCTCACTGCTTGGACTGCACACTGCTTCTTTACTGGATGCTGCAAAACATGAACACTGGTTTCTTTTCACCTTTTTTTGTAAAAGTGAAGTTGTGTAAAGCAAACTTTAAGAAAGCAAGGGATACCTTATGGTTAGTAACTCTTGGGAGAGCATACCTGTTATTCCCACCAGCTTAGCCATTCATTTAAAAAGGCACCTTGTCTTGGCAGTCAAGCAGATTGTGTGACTGGCTAGCGCTTTCCCAGTCCCACGCGCCATGCTCCACTCACTTACAGCAGTGTTTCTTCTTTTTGCTGCTTCCATGCGGCCCTTGTTTTGGTGATAGCCTTATTCTTATCATCTCTTTCTGAGCTCCTCTGTCTCTGCTTTGAACTTCTGTTTAACACAGTCATGGTTAAATGTCACAATTTTCATCTGTTGAGTGCCAACATTCTCTGGCAAATGTTCATCTGCCATTTGTTCCTGTAACAGCTTTGTTTGGCTCTTGTGTTGGTTCCCTTTTAATTAGAAACGCCTGGATGAACTCTTCCAAGTAGATCACTGTGGGAAAGGGCCAGGCCTGTGTCCAGGCTATAGCAGGAGTTCTCAGGGGACAGGTGAGCTCTTCTAGCCTTCTCTCCCCTGGCTGCTTACAAGGCACCTTCTCTCTCTTGCCTTCTCTTCTTCTCCTTGGTGCTGAACCAGGGTCAGGAAAGCTCCTGTGGCATTTTACTGTAATTAAGAGATTATTGGTTTCTCCCCCAGGTGAGCTACTTAGTTCATTAGTTCAGAGAACTTAAAACTGCCACCTTCAACTTACAACCCCAAGAGTCAAGTCCTTCTGTGCCATCGGCCTGCACTTTGCAGCCTTCTATCAGGGACAGTCTGCCTTTTGATTTCTTGTTTACTGTTTTGCTTTTCAGTGATTTCTAAGGGAGTAGAGTACTAAGGAGTAGGTAGTAGTCTCTTTATGCCACTTTAAAACTGGAAGTCATATTAAAAGACCAACTTTGTATTCCTGGCTAAGAGGTTTACTTTCAAAACTCTTCCGTTGGATTCTGTTTGCTTATATTTCATTTAAGACTTTTACTTCTTTGTTTATAATGAAACAAAGGTCTATCACTGACAGGTCCCGTATCCTCTTCAGGGCTTCTGAAATGAGTTGTCATTTTCTATGTGCAGGCATACCTCATTTTATTGTGCTTTGCAGATACTGTTTTTCACAAATTTAAAATTTGTGGCAATCTTGCGTTAAGCAAATCTTTGGGCACCGTTTTTCCAATAGCACGTGCTCAGTTCATGTCTCTGTGTCACATTTTGGTAATTCTCACAATATTCATTTTTTCATAATGCCATTAAACCAAACAAACAAACAAAAAAAAACCAAAAACAAAAACTCACTGCTGTCGAGTCAGAGCCAACTCATATAGCTACCCCTCCTTGGATTTCCGAGGCATGGCTAGTGGGTTTGAACCTCCAGTCTTCTGGTTAGCAGTCAAATGCCTTAGGCACTACGCCACCAGAGCTCCCAATGCTGTTATTGCACCCTTAAGATACTACAGTATAGTGTCAACATTTCTTTGTACTGGGAAACTAAAAAATATGTAAGACTGGGTATCTGTTTAAGGTTTTATAGAATTCCACCTGTAAAACTATCCAGGCTCTGGTTCCTTTTTAAGAATTTTAATTTCTTTAGTTTTTTAAGATCATGGTAGTAGAATGTTTTTCTGGAAAACTTTTCCATTTAAATTCAATTTTCAAATTTACTGCCATAAAAATGTACTTAGGAAGTAGAGGATGGGGTTTAGTTTATCTCTACTGTTGATTATTAATCAATTCTTATTGTGAAAAGTAAGTAAGATCATTTGGCCATCACCAAATGATGATTTGTATCCTGAGGGGATGAGGAGGGGAAAGGCATGGCCCTGCCCCCTTCCAGCCCAGCAAGCCCTGTGCTCTGCTAAGTCAGCCTCTTTCTGCCTTTCCTTTGTCAGTCTTAGGAAAAGTTCTCAGTGCTGTGGGCAGTGCTCAGCTACTGATGTCCCAGAAGTTCCAGCAGTTCCGGGGCCTCTGTGAGCAAAACTTGGTGAGTGTTAATTCTTTTTCCTCCAGAACGGGGCTTCTAAACTGGCCTGTGCACCAGCAAGCCCCTCTAAGTCTCTGTGCCCTACTCTGGAACATGGAGATAGTGTGGAAAGATGAAGGTGATGTGTGTCACAGTGTCTCGCATACAACAAAGGGACCAGGAAACTGGCCTCTGAGATATCTAATGCCTTTGATAAATAGAAAATTAAACTCTGCAGGAGAAAAAAATAAAACAACTTACTGCCATCAAGTTGATTCCATCACACAGTGACCCCATTGGGTTTCCAAAGAAGCAAATCTTTACATATTTGCCCATCTTTCTTCTGCAGAGTGCCTTCTGCAGAGTGGCTGGTGGGTTTGAACCACCAACCTTCTGGTTGGCAGGTAAATGCCTTAGGTGCTGTACCACCAGAACCCCTATGTTTAAAAAAAAAAAAAAAAAAAAACTGCATGGAAATTAAGAATCAGTTATTATTGAGTGTAATGCATAAAATATACCCTCTAAGAATACACCCAACGTAAGACCGTAAGACCTAAAGAAAACTACCACTAAGTTTGGCAGGTTTCCTGCTCCCTCATCTTTACCTGTTAGGATCCTTGCCCTATGGTAAGCCAGAAGCAAGGGTAGTTTTTTCTAGGGGCCTCTGTCCAACTAGCCCAGTCTGTGTACCCTGGGAGTAGAGGAGAAATAAAGGGAACTCATGTCACTGGGCCCTATAGGCGTGGGCAGCCAGTAATGAGGAATATGTTGGCATGGCTTCTGTAACCATACTCACCTGGGTATGAAGCTTGGCCTCCCCCCACCTCACTGTGAGACCATGGCCTATAATGTTCATTGCTGACTATGAATGAAACCCTGAGGGACCCAGTGTGCATGAAAGCCTTCTTTACCATAGCCCACTTGGTTCAAGTATTGGCTTGTGGATGGCCTTGGGCCACATATATGTCAACTAGGCCTCAAAAGACTGCTGGCAGGGCCAGGGGATCCTACTTGGGATTGGTTCAAGACAAGCCTCTGCCTTAGCCCCACTGATCTCCATGTGCCCCACAGAACCCCGATGCCAACCCACGTCCCACAGCCCAGGACCTGGCAGGGTTCTGGGACCTGCTACAGCTGTCCATTGAGGACATCAGCATGAAGTTTGATGAACTCTACCACCTCAAGGCCAACAGCTGGCAGCTGGTGGAGACCCCCGAGAAGAGGAAGGTGAGCATGGAGCAGTGCGGAGGGGAAGTCCAGGGACAAATTCCTGGTCGACAATAACGCTGCCCACATCGGTCAGTGCTGCTTGGCTCCCTTCTCCGTGTGTCGTCTTTTTGAGCTGGGGGCTCGCGTCCATCAGTGCGCGGGGTCCATGCTTGGCACTTGTCCAGCATGCTGCTTGCTCTGTGTGGTTGGGGCCGCCTCCTGAAGCACGCCTTCCTGCCCTGCATGTTCAGAAAATGGGGGTCCCAAGAGACACATACCCCACCTTTGGACAGTAACCTGGACACAGCTGTAGGTACCTGGGAGGCAGCACGATGACCCTTTCTTGTGGAGCCATGTGCCGAGAGGACCGGGGCCGGGCCCACTTCCACCTCCTTGAGCAATCCTCTTCCTTGAGGCTCAGACTTCCTTCTGTAAAACAGTAGAACCCAGTGGCCCCTTTAAGCTCCAATCCTCTAGAACAAACAGCATGTGAGATGTATCCTGGGATCCCTGTGTTTAAGTCCCATCTCTGGCTGGATGACTCAGGCTCCCAGTGGTTCCAAGCCCCAGGGTAAGAACAGGTGATGCGTCTGGCCCTCCCCACTAGGACACTGAAGGGTGGTCTAAGCTTGCCTTTGCGCCTGTGCTTTGTGCTAGTCCCACTATCATTGCTTCCTAATTCCAAATGTATGTTGCTTGCGCCTGACGCGAGGAGGCTGGGGTGGAGACTACAGCTGCCAGCATGCAGTGGGGGTGCTGCCTCACAAGACAGGGCACCTTTATTTTATTTTTGTTCCCTCCTTACTGTCTCACTAAAGGAAGAGAAGAAACCACCCCCACCAGTCCCAAAGAAGCCAGCTAAATCCAAGCCGGCAGTGAGTCGTGACAAAGCCTCAGACGCTGGGGACAAGCAGCGCCAGGAGGCCCGCAAGAGACTCCTGGCGGCCAAGCGGGCAGCTTCTGTGCGACAGAACTCAGCCACAGAGAGTGCAGACAGCATTGAGATTTATGTCCCCGAGGCCCAGACCCGGCTCTGAGACCGTGAAGGAGGAAGGAAACAATTTTTAAGTCATTAAAAAAAAAACCACAGAAAAACTAAATGCAAATGGAACAAAATTTTCTCAACCATTAGTATGATGATTCTGTCTAGAGACCCTGAGCCAACTTTCAAATTGATGCATACAAGGGCTCACAATTTGGCTTTTTTGGGGTCCCTCCCAGCTTTAGGTTATGAAGACTTCACACACACACAAATCAACAAGAAACATGAAACTTTTTTTTCTTCTTGCTGGCCGTGGTGACTAGATAGATGGACTCTGGCAACTCCCCGGCCCAGACTGCGGTCTTTTTACTTGTTCTATCTAATGAGAACTTAAACTGGCTTGTTTACAAGATGACGACAGTCCAAGGGCAGCCTTGGGCACCTGCCATGTCCTTCCTTTTCCCAGCTACTCCCGCTATGACCTTGGATTTTTCATTCTTCGGTTTCTCTCTTATCCCTTCAGAGCTCACACAGGGGTCACCATCCTAACTAGTGGCTTTCTGGTTCTCAGCCCCTTTTGTGGTTGGGGGCAGACAGACAAGCACCCCCACCTCCCTCGCCAAGTGCTCACACACACTCTCACACACACAGACGTAGGTTCCTTCTCATGGGCCCAGCGCTGCCCACTGCCATCCTCCAGCCCTTGGCAGTGGCAGGCGGGTGACATGCCTCTAAAGCAGATGAGGAAGGTTTAAAAATAAGTCCTTGGAGGGAAAGAGGGAGAAAAGCCACAGTTATCACATCCTAGGTTCTTACCTTTTCTTCTCTCCAGCCTCTTCCTTCAGTAAAAGAAAACGTATAAGCAGGGTACACTCAAGAGAGGGACCTCATTTTCTGAGGCTTGTCTGTCCTTGGCCGAGCCTGTGTACAGTCCCCCAAGGGGCAGGGCAGCTGTGTCTGTACGTATGTGTACATATGCACATAGACCCTTAGAGTGTATATTTAACAAATGCCCATCTGCTCACCCATGCCCACCAGCACCGCCGCTGTCTCTCCGGGCACCCGGCAGGAGGTGGGTGTGTGAATAGCATATATTTTTACATGTACTATATCTAGGTGTGTGTAAAAGTGTGTGTAAAAATATATACCTTGTGTGTAAGCAGCCCTTTTTTGTTTTTGGTCTTCCACCTTGCCTCTTTTCCCATGGGCTCATCTGCCCAGTCTGTTTTCTTTGTTCTTTTTTTCATTTTTACCCCAATCCTCCTCGTCTCTCCTGCCCCTCACTCCCACTCCCAGGGTGTCATGAGCCCTGAGCTGCAATGGCCCGGGTCTGCAGGGTAGGGTGGGGAAGTCAAGGGCAGGCCAACGGCACAGGGGCCAAGCTCGGCTGCAAGCTCAGCACGCGAGGGGCTGCTCTATACTGTGTATATGACTATGGCATTGGAGACATCCTCTTGTCCGGCGCTTGCTGCAGGGGCCCCAGGTGAACGAAGGACCTGCTCTGGGACTGCCCTTGGGGCCCCATTCCAGCTTGGCCACCGTCTGTGACCTTGGGCAAGTCACTTGACCTCTGTGTGCCTCAACTTCCTCCTCTGTAAAACGGGGACAGTCCCTGCCCCTCCCTACCTCACAGGCATGTTGTGAGAATAAATGAGGTAATGTGTACTGAGGGCTCATGGTGTTTTTGCAGTGGGATGGCAGGCTGGGAAAAGGTAGGTGGGCATGGACTCCCCCAGGAGACCAAGCCAGACCCCCTCCCAAAAGGCAGCTCTTTGGGGACCTGCTGTCTCAAGTTCAAACGGTAACTTCAGCTCAAGTACACCCCACACTGAACCTGGGCAAGAAGACAGCTCTTGGTTTCCTGATCTGAAAAGGAAGGCACAGCATTCACCTCTCACAAGAAAGAAAATGCTTCGTAATGATGACAGGAGCCAAGATGGGCTGTTACAGGCTATCCTTACTGAGGGTCCACACCTCTCCACAGACCCAGCCTCTCTCATGCCGCCTCATGGGCATTCCATATCCCTCAGCAGCTTCTTCCAACATAATGGTTATACTTACTGAACCCATTAATGGCGCCCTACCAGGGGCGGCCTGGTGCCAGGTGTGGGATTTGTGGAGGCTGTCCTTAGAGCACACTTTCTTGTTGGGGAGAGAGACACTGAACACATCACAGTCAAATTCAGGTGTGACCGGTGGCAGAAAGGAAGACATACTCGGATGAAGCTGTGGGAACCTGTGGCGGTACCACCAAATCCAACCTGGACTAGGAACATTCTGGTCAAGACTGGAAGAATGAGTGGGTATTAACTAGCCTGGGAGCTAGGGAGAATGCATTCTAGACAGAATTGAAGGGACAGTAGGTACCAAGGCCTTGTGGGAGGAACATACCTTTTAGAAAGTTCTTAGGGCAGGCTCTGGAGCCACAGACACTAGGTCTCCTTCTGCCAATGTGGCTGAGATGCTAGTAACCTCAGGCCCAGGAGTACAGAACCACCTTCCCAGGAGCTCTGCTCAAGCTGCCCAGCCGTCACCACAAGCTCGTCACCTCCGTGGGGGGCAGATGCTGTGCGTATAGCAGCTTGCCCTCATGCCTGGGCCCAGCACTCGGCCTCTGTTAGTGGCAGCTGAATGTACAGTGACCATAGGTGGCTCTGATGACTCCTGGGGCTAGCACCTGTTGGGAGCAAGCTAGAGCAGAAGTGCAGAGGTTTCAGGTTGCCTTGGCAGTATGTGCATTTCTGCCCCCAGCACTGAGCCCAGGGCACAAAGGTGTGAGTGAAAGCAGGGGTAGGCCAGGCTGGGTCTGAGTGCCTCTTTCCAGCTGGAGTCTTAGCCCTGCTCCTGTTGAGCTTTGGGGGTTAGGGCTGAGCCCTTAGCGTTCTGAGTCAGTGTTTCTACTGCCTCTGGGGGGAGAGGATCTCAGAGAGGGTCCTGTACCCCCTGTATTGGAAGCACTAGAGCAAGGGGAGAGGAAAAGAGTCTGACGTAAAGAATCTGAGTCCCCATCTCTAACCCTCCTAGATCAGCAGCAGGCTCCCCGTTCCTACCACACTGTGCCACTGTGCCCTGTCACTGGCCTGCCCTCAACCCCATGGAATGTCCCTAGTAAGCTTGTAGCAGTTTGAGTTGGGAGAAAACCACATGTCTAGCTAAGAGCCTGCCTGTCCCCCAAAGCCCCTCTCTTCGTCCCTGTGCCCAGAGACAATGCTGTGTGACTATGGCTGCCACTCTAGGCCTTGTCTTCCTCTAGAAATTGGGAAAACAGCAGCCCCTACATTCCTACATGAGCTCAGCCAGCCAAGGTATGGGGCCAGGGCCAGTCCAACAGAAGCATGTTCGTCCAGGGGAGCTATTGCCTTTATCCAGGGGGTTACCCAGTGCCAGGCTGTAGCCAGCAGGGCTGTCGAGCAAAGGCCTCCATTACCAGAACAGCCCAGGCTGGCTGCTTCCTACAGCCTGTCCGCCTGGCAGGCCTAGATAAGCATCTGAAGGCATTGCCCCTGGTGCCCACTGTGGGATGTCAGTATTAGCCAGGGCTCTTCCAACCCTTACTTTCCTTCCCCAATTGTTAATTTTTAAAAGTTAAAAAGCTAAGTGAAAGCTGAAAGACTAGTACAATGAACAGCATATACCCTTCACCCAGAATCACCGATTCTGCCCTATTTTACACATTGCCACATTTTGCCATGTTTGCTTTCTCTCAACACACACACACACACACACACACACACACACACCCCTTTCCTGAGGCATTTAAAAGTAAGTTGCAAACAGCATGGCACGTCACCCCAGAACACATCATGCAAGTCCTAAGAACAAGGACACACCTACATGGTTATAAGACCAGTATCACAGAGCACAGGAGTGGGCCAGGAAAGCCAGCCCTCTCACTCAGGAGGGCACTGCCCAGATACTAGTATTGTCTTTAGACAGTAGTCCATGTTCCAATTTTCCCACCTGCCCTAACAATGTTCTTAACAGCCTTTTTCTTTGTTCCCATCCAGGATCTGATCAAGAACCATGCATTGCATTTGGTTACCGTGTTTCTGTAGTTTCTGCTTTGTTTTTCAGGACACTGACATTCTTCAAGTGGCCAAGCATCTTGTTGAATGTTGCATAAGTTGGATTGATCTGTTCTCTGAATCTAGACTCAGATTACTAAATTTTTAAAAGAAGACAACACAGAAAATGTCCCATCCCTTCCACTTCAGGGAAAGGCAGACAACAGCTTCCCAGAGCAGTCAGGAAGAAGTGTCCCTGAGGGACAGGAAGAGCCCAGTTTAGGGACAGACAGAAGCACCTCCTGAAGGCTGCAGAATGGCTGGGGAAGAGACAGAGGGGACAGGAGACTGTCAGCCACAGTGGGTCCTGAGGAGGGGCCCACAAACCTAATACAGGTGCAGGTTTCCCTTCCAGACCCCCCCCCCCCCAGTTAGAGAGTCCCCACCCTGTGCCCTCAAGAGCAGAGGGGTTTGGCCAGAGCCTGAAACAACACTGGGCCCAGGGGCCTTACAGGTAGGACAAAAGGACAAGGCCACTGCCATCAGTGGCCTGAGGACTAAGGACTATATGAACACCAGCAGGATAAATGCTGCTAAGAACCTCTCTGTCAAGTGAGCTGATGTTTCACTCACCTGCAGTGCAGTGTCCTAACAACAGAAATTTAAAATAAAATTGTGTCTCCTGCCCTGAACTTGTGGCTGATTTGTAAAACCCACACAGTCCCTGTGGCTACTGTCTCCTGTTCCACCTGGCAACCAGAGGGAACGTCTCAAAATGTCAATGGGGTGCATCAGCCTCTATTCAGAACCCACCACTGCCTGTCCACTGTCCCAGGAAAAAAACCAGCCTCCTCACCTGGGCTGTGGAGAGGGCCTTGCTTGGAGGCCAGGGATAGTCCATCCACCATCCCTGCTTGCACACCCCACCCCCCAGCCACATCTCAGCACCACACACAGGGAGGAGCTCTGTCCCACTAACGCAGGCAACAGCTACTCTTTCCTCAGGCCAGTTGGCATTTCCTCAGGGAAACCATGAAGCCCCTGGGCCAGGTCACTGAACCTCCGTCTATGTGCTACTCCAGTCACGTGGTTTTTCTTTGCTGCTCATCACTGATGCCACTGATGTGAGGATGACTTTATCTGTGTAATTATATGTGAAAATGTGTCTCTATACAGGAGATGATGGACGCCCAGAGGGCAGGAATGGAGTTTTTCTTCACCATGCCTACCACAGAAAAGAGCCTCAAGAATGATTTCCTCAATGGATGACCTTGTTTGGGGAGGCTTTGGCGAGACAGCAGTATTTGAGCTGGGCTTTGAGGGGTGAATAGAAGTCCTACAAGCAGTAGCAGTGAAAGGCATGGTGCACACAGAGGCACAAGGGTGGGCCAGTGCTGTGCTCGGCGAGGGGAAATGCGAGACAGGCCTTGAATGCCACGTTAAGCAGAGCCCAGACCTGACGATGCTGCTGTGCCAATGGGACATGCCTTGGGGGTCCTCAGCTGCAGTATTCCTACATCTAAAGCTACGGCCTGTACTTTTCCCTAAACTCCAAACTTCTCTTTTAACATCTTCACCTGGATGTCTAATAGGTAATTCAAACTTAACATGTCACCAACTAAGAAAAGTAAAAGGAATGGTGGAGTTAGAAAACCACCATTTAGCAACCATCACAGTAATAACTGAATCACCAGTGGATGTGAAAGTAGTGGATAGAAGTTTGAGGAGGAAAAGAAATTCCTGTCTCAAAGCTGTTACTGCTGTTAGTGGCTGTCGAGTGGATTCCAACTCATGGTGACCCCATGGGTGCAGAGCAAAACTGCTCCACAGGGTTCTTCAAGGCTCTGACTTTTGGGAAGCGATTGCCAGGCCTGTTATTTACCGAGATACCTCTGAGTGGGTTCATGCTAACCTTAATCCATAACACCCCATAAACTATTGATGAACATATTAATTACAAAAGGGAGAAAAGTTGCTTTATGATAGATAAACCTGGCAGACATTATCTTAACTTGTTGTTGTTGTTATTTGCCATCGAGTCGGTCCCGACTCATAGCGACCCCTCCTTGGGTTTCCGAGGCAGTATCACTACGGAAGTAGGAATGCCCAACCTTCCTTCCGAGGAGTGGCTGGTGGATTTGAACCTCCAGCCTTCTGGTTAGCAGTCAAGTGCCTTAGGCACTATGCTACCAGAGCTCCTTTATCTTAACTAGGTGATCAAAATTACTATTACCAAGCAATTAATATCATGTGATATCTTGTTGATAGGATGCACTGAGGACACAGCATCACGTCTGTGGTATTCCTGTCAGAATGTATAACCTGAACCTAATCATGAGGAAATAAAAAGTAAATGGCTTGGACTCTCAACAATGTCAGTGTCAAGGAAGACAAAGAAAGGCTGAGAGTGCCGGGACAACTGGATAACTGCATGCAAAAGAATGATGTTGGACCCCTACATCACTCCACAAACAGCTCAAAATGGATCAACAACCTAAATATAAGAGCTAAAGCTATAAAACTCCTAGAAGAAAATGTAAGTGTAAATCTTTATGACCTTGCATTTGGCAATGGATTCTTTGACTCAACACCAAAACCACAAGTGACAAAAGAATAAATTGATAAAATGCACTTAATAAAAATTAGAAACTTTGGTGCATCA